ATTTTTGACGTCTCCATAAGCTGGGAATTATCGAGAAAATTTTAATTTCCTTTACTAGCGCTTACTACTTCTTATCGTTCTTTTAGGCACTTAATATGCCTAATGTTGCTCATTGTTATTTATAAGTTTTCGTAAATGCGTTCTCGCTGGTATGGGAGAAATAATCAAGCATTTACAAAATTAGGCAAGTTGCTTGCAGGACTCGCAATACTGTATAATTAAATGGGGGGGGAGGCAAAGGGCACAGCAGCAGTCGATCATACGAGGAAGGGCGGGGGGCGTGAGAGGACGCAAGGGGAAGTGGGTTTACGTCCTTTATCGCTCGTTATCACGTGATGCAGTCGCTCAACAGCTGATGCTCTATTTACCTATCAGGTTTCAGCCTTCTAGGTCGATACTTAATTGGACGGTTTCTTTTACCTTACAAATGCTCCAACTAGCCCTGAATTATACTCTGCCCATAAGTTTTTGTTGTGGGTTTCAACTTCCGGCCTCAGTAGTGCTGCTAATTTGGACAAGCAGTGCAGGCGCGTCCTTCTTGGCGTGATAGACAAAACCCACGGGATATCTTTTTGACTTTTGGCTATATGCCACCGGCTTGTTCTAGGATTCCTTTGGCCTAAAACGGAAGAACATTGGCGAAGCGAAGAGTAATGTTTATCAGAGACGAGTAGTTGAAAAGGGGCTAGAAGGATTGAAGGGGGGAAATGAAGCCATTTTGCATTACACTAAGAACTAACAAAGAAGAGGCGTTATACACCATGTATGTTGGCGGCGAAGAGGTTTTGGTAACCGATTGGGACGGATATCAGTCCTGAGAAGTCTCAGTTATCATTCGGAATGATTTTTTTCCCATTTAAAATCGTTTTAGTCGGTGCAGAGGTTGAAAGTCAGATTGTGAAAAAGTTTAGCGTTAGACGTTGTCTGTAGTTATGAAACATGTATAGACCGCGTCTGCGTTTAATAGTCAGTTTAAAGAGGTCTTTTCTATGAGTCACTTGACATTCCAAATATGTTACCTTAAGAACAAGCACTTCATGAAGGAAGTTTTCAAGGAGTTTGGAAACCAGAACGCACATTTAAGTTACACGCATCCCCAGGGAGTGCAGGTGGGTTAGTGAACAGTTTTCACATGACAATAAATGCACAGATAACCGACTGTTACGTACACACAAGGTTAAGGATTACTTATATAGTCATCTAAGCAGTACAAGGGGGATATTGTGGGGATATGAGCCCAGTGCTGACTTTAATCAGCGTCATTTTCTAAATAATAATACAGTCAAAAATAGTAACAGAACTGCTATCAATCAGTTGCACCCCTAGTTAGTAGTATTAGAAATATCAGTAGCCGTACCAGCCTTGGTTTCCAGAACCCTGGCTTGACAGCTACTAAAGGTGGGTATTTGCTCTGAATAGCTTTAACCCACATTCACACTCCCTGCTGGGATCAAGGGGATACGAGCAGAGGATCTGAAAAGTCCAAACTACAGATGGATACTGTAGTAGACCTATAGGTAGCCCATAGACGGTAAACTGCACGACATAAGGGTATGGTAGGACTTGTACATGACTTTACAAACGCTCTATTATTATCCAAATGCCAATCACTATAACTTCACACAGATTGGGAGTGCATACTGGGTGCGACTTCTTAAAAAGCACACACAGGCAGTACTTATAGTATAATATCTACTGGCCTTAGCAAGCATGAGTAATAGAAACTAGCACTCACAGTATAGGCACGTACCTATAGCAGCAGTATCTTAGTCCGTGCAAGCTCGATGGATAGAGTTGAGAGTGCGGAAACCAAGGCAAACGCTCTTTTGCTCAGGGCCCAAAGCATGTACTTACTCGAAATAGTCTAAAACCAGATTCACACTGCTTGTTGAGACAAGGGGGTATGAGCCCCAGAGCTTACTTCAAACCAGCGGCAATTCTGACAAATTTTAGCGTCAGAGATGGTACTGATACTAAGACTCGGCTGCGTCGATAGCCAGTAGTAGTAGAAATAGTAGTACCCGTATCAGTCTCGGCCCCCTTAAGCCTGTCTTCACACCTATTATTAATGAGTGAGGGTAGATAGTACAGTAGTACCCACGCAAAGTCTAATATCACTTAAGACTAAGGTGGACGGTGTATTGGCTTGCATTTTATAAAGCAGCCCAGGCCGGACCTCGTTTAGTCTTCGAGACTCCAGGAGAAGGTGGACAGTGCGGAGCCGCTAACTACGTCTCTATCACTTTAAACCTAACTCCTGAGACCGCTACCTTCTGTACCAACTTGTTGGTGTACTTGATGGACTTCATCGAAATTGATGGTGAAACACACAAAGGGGGGCAGGAACACTCGAAGTAAGTAATAAAGTTGACCCTACGCAAAATTCCAGGGGAGATAGATATTACCTTTGTCCTAACCCTAAACCACGGCCCTAAGCTTAACCATACCAAAAACCCCTCAGACCAATCCCAACGTTAAACCTGTCACCGATTGGGGCGTAAAGTCACCTGTACTGCTCGTTACATTCAGCATATTAATTTCATATTCGTGTTTTTAGGTGCTACTAACTGCGTGTTAGTAGCCCGAGTCCGCCGAAAGCCGTGTCCTTGTTTCCGCTTAGTCATCCATCGATTCCCACCCCCCCCATGTCCTGTGTCCCTTGACCTCGTTTGCTGCCTTCGCATGCGGCGACCCCTCTCGTTCTTTGTTCCCTCCCCGACTTGTCCTCATGCGCTTATAAACTGGCAGTCACACATTTGCGTCATTCGCACGACTGTTCGTCTAATCACCTCGAATGTATGTCCACCCTTTTGTTTTTTTAAATTTTTACGCCGCCTTTCGGTTAACCTATTGTGCCCAGTTAATCTTACTGTTTATTACGCTAGAACCACAAAGAGAAGCCGAGTTATTCTAGCTGTTTTCTGATACAGTTTTTGACCGCGGGAGTGTCTATTCTGGTGAATAAACTGGCACTGAACTACGAAAGTCCAAAATAATATTAACACAGCTGACGGTTCAAACGTTTATGTTCTGTTTAGGGGGGCCATATACGCAGCCCTCACCTGGAAATATAACGGCATTTTTAAAATGTTAGAGCAGTCAATAGAAACTCAAAGCGACCGGGGGAACGTTGTGCGTTGGTTCAAGAAAAGAGGAGCGTCAAGGGGAGCATATAACTAACCCTCTCCTGCACCTCCAGATCGGCGGAATGTACAAACAGTGCCATCTTCTCCATCAGACCATTGGTCAGGTCAATGAAGCGATCAAGCAGGCCGGGCACATCAACAGCTTCCACAGCGGCAGCATCCAGGTTGAGGGGCTCCTCACCATGAAAGTCCTCAGGACCGATTGCCTCAGCGAACCACTTGGCGGTGACTTTGCAGTAGAGTTTCAGAACGTTCAATACCAAAACGGACTGGATGTGTCCTCGAAGGTTGCTGAGGCT